AGCCTGAAGTCAACTAAAGGGCTAATGATAACCATCAAAATTTCTGCTATTTGATATAAATAAATGATTGCTCCTACAGTAACATCTCAAAATTAATAAACCACTATCTAGTTTAGAAAACTCATTTCACATTGTGAGAACTATTTAGCTTTATATCATTTTCGGCAATCTAGATATAACCTACATTTTGTAAAAACGTTAATTTTGTTTGATTGAATTCGTGCGTATTACCACTACCCACAGCAAACTACTATCTGTTTTCACATGGCAACTCATAAACTCTTTGATGAAAGAGAAATTTAGATTAGAAATTAACAAAAATTCGTCTTAAGTAAATTAATTTTTTTCTTGATTTACGCTTTGGCTTTTTGCCTTAAGGCATTTCATTTTTGAATTCCATAATTCGTCTTCTGATTTTACATTTTATATCGTTTCGAAGAATTGAATTTATGGATTTACGTCAAGTAGGAAATTATTAGGTTTATACAATTCAGCACTTTATTAATATACTACCATTTAAAACAAGAAATCTATTCGAGAATTTTCACTCATATTTTGTCATACATTTTAAAGCGCATTACACATTTTGTGTCAATCTAAATTAAATCAAATCAAGCAACTGGTTGAGTTTAAAATCTTTAATCATGATTTTTTTAATTGCCTCTGTGAAACAATAAAATTTTCACTTTTAAACAAAAGTATTTATTTCGGCATTAAGAGAAATGGCGAATTATTGACACTAAAAAGGATGCCATCTGATTGGCTCCCTGTGCACACACGTTCACTTTTCCCAACAAACACACATTAGCACGTACATTCTTTCCTGCATACCCTCTTATCTAACAACTTCACTATCCGGTTGTCAGAAAAGCCAGATGGCAGCACAGCTGTTGACACTTAAACTCATTCGTTCTGATAGCTCTATTCAGTGGGGCTTTCGTCTTGAAGGAGGCGTAGATGTCGGACATCCGCTGAATATTCAAAGAATTACTGATGGTAGTGTAGCCGAAAGATGCGGACTTCGAGCAGGGGACTATGTTCTTCGTATAAACAAAACCGACACTCGGAATCTTACTCATGAACAGGCTAAGATGGAAATTATTCGCTCGAGCAATGACTTTGAGATCCTCGTTCAACGTGGAGGCGCGCCACCACAGTTTAAAACAACGACTACTTCAACTATCATTCAGCCTATGTCAGCAAAGGTTGAAGAAACCGTTATTCGTAGAGTTATGAATAATGGACAGGCCAATTTGAAGTCTGCTTTCGCTGCACCTTATGTCCCTCCTGTTGGTGCCTCCCATAACGTCAACCCAGTACCTTTCGGGCAAGCCCCATTACCCGGTCAGCCAGTTGTCGTTCGTAATCAAGAAGGAAGAACACACCGCATTCTACACTCGGAATATAACTCACCTATGGGACTTTATTCTCAACGAAATGCAACCACATCTTTCGAGAACGCTCTTTCACAAACTGGGGCCACGTCACCCAGTAGTGGAGCGCCAAAGTTAACTTGTGGTGCCTGTGGTGGACCGATCGCGGGTGTCATGGTAAAAGTTCATGGTTCAATTCCCATGCATCCGGATTGTCTGATATGTTCTGTCTGCAGGATTAACCTTCGTAACGTAGGGTACTTCTATATTAACGACAAACTCTACTGTGAAACTCATGCGCGCAAAGTGTCTCCACTACCCAATCAAGGAATGCGAGCTGGAGTGATGTACAAGTAGTCCGTTCTTCCTTTACGTGGAACGTTTGCATGCTTTTATTTGCTAACACGTGCCGTTTTGGCCCATCACAGATATTTTTGCAAATTCATAGTTTATTGGATTAGCTCTGAGTATAGAAAGGTGCGCCGAGGCACCAGCGGCGAGGTATTGCTTTCATCAAATATATTAAAACTGTTACCTGAAGACATTTCTGACTACTTGGGGGGTAGGAGTGATTTGGCAAATGTATGAAAGTGTTTTGGCGATATTTTACTTTTTTTCAATTATTTTCATTGATTGTTGCCTGTAGAATAGGTGCTTGATATCATTCGTTCTAAATTGAAAAAATTATATATATATATATATACATACCGTTTAATATAGCAGATTATTAGCAAAAAATATTTAGTATTATATGTCTTAATGATCAATCATGCAATGATTGTGTACTTAAATTATTTTTTCTTGAGATTTTGAGTAATTGGTCTACAAAGTTACATGTAAAAAATTCGCTAAAACCGATTGTTTTGGATACCAAGATTTTATGGGGAAAATAATTTACCAGAACCTTAGGACTTTTGTTTGTTTGTCCTAAACAGTAATAAAAAATGCCAACTAACAGACGCTATTCTTCATAATTAAATTCTTTTCTATAATTAGAGACACACTTAATTTCCAATCACCAGTTGAAAAAAAAACAGAGTAACTGTATATTAGATTTTATAGATTTTGAAGCATCATATAATTAACTCAAAGGTTATGCGACGTACTAATGCAATGATTTAATGTAAATTTAGAGTAATGTACTTTTCATGTGCATAGAAGTTTGCTTATATACTTCAAATTAATATCGTGCTCACGCAGAGGTTAAAATGAACAGTTCCTAGGACAACAAAGTGGTATTATGGGTGTTAAGAACAAAATTTTAATTCAATTGCAGAAACAATTAATTGATATTGATTTGTGAACAAGAATTTATTTCACCATCTACGGAGGAAAATGTGCTAAAAAAATGAGCAATGTTATGATAAAACATTCACCTTTTACTGACTTTATCTATTAACAATTTATTACTTCCCACGAATACTCTGTTAATCCGATTTCACTTTGTATTCAATGGATTTTATTCGAATTTACTCATTTCTCATTTCTTTTCACCTTGTTTTATTTAAAAAAACAATATATTTAAAAAAATGTTGAATCGACAAAGCAAAATGTGGAAAACCTTATTTAAATTTCTGATTTGTTGAATCCAATCATTGACTCAATCGAAAGTACTAAGAAAAAAATTCATTGAATGTTTTTTTTCTCAATCACCATACTAAATAAAATGTGGTAGGTGGAGGATAAAGTATATTAGTAATAATGAACATGAAAAAAATTAAATCAGATGGCAGGCGTCTTGATGGTTATCATTAGTCCTTTAGTTGACTTCAGGCTTCACAGAGTGAAAGGAACATCAAATTGAAAAAAGTCGAGAGGAGGGGAACAGAAGAGTGTTTCAAAGACGATGGTAGAGAAGGTAGAGAAAAAGGTGAGGTGAGTACTGAAGAAATAGTCGAATATGACATACACTGGGGTCATGGTAGTTTGAAGTCAGAAGTCAACTGCCGGTTAATAGACTTTTTTGCCGAATGAGTATACGTTGCCCAGGGTGCACCACATGGAGGTAAGTCTATCGCACACCCCTGAACATGAAAAATAGTTTCGTTCC